TTACAGGGCGCGCCCCACCACCATGCCCGGCTTAATTTTTGCTATTTTTAGTAATAAATGGCGGTTTTGCCAGTGTGGGCCAGGGGCTGCCGTCGTCGAACTCCTGACCTCAGCGTTCCTCAGGTGATCCACTCACCTCAGCCTCCCAAAGTTCTGGGATTACAGGTGTGAGCCACTGCGCCCAGCCCAGAAGATATTTTTTAAAGAGATGGAATCCTGCTCTGTTGCCCAGGCTGGAGTGCAATGGCACCAGCATGGCTCATGGTAGCCTCAGCTCCTGGGCTCAAGTGATCCTCCCACCTCAGCCTTCTGAGTAGCTGGGACTACAGGTGCGCACCACCATGCCAGCTAGATATTTGAGCACGAGAGTGAAATGATTAAAACTTTGATTTTGGGGAAGGGTGCTTCGGAGGTGTCGCTGAGTACCTAAGTTAGATAATGGAATAGAATGAAGAGGAGGAGTGGGTCAGGAGGGAGGTTGAGCTGCCAAGTTCTTCATGTCCTGATTTGATGTCTCTGACAAGAAGGAGGCGGCAGAAGATGGTTCTAAAAGTTTACGTTCAGTGAACACAAGTGCCATTTGGGACCAGGGATGGAGGTTGGGGGCAGGATCAATGGACAAATGAGTTTGTGGAACCCATGGAGTGCCTAACAGAGCTGGGAATGCAGAACTGGGATTTGGGAGTCCCTAAGACTCACACAAGATGTGGGAGTAAGAGTTGAAGATCCAGAAGTGGATGAGGCTGCCTGACCTCAGGTTCTGAGCGGGTCTGACAGGTTCAAGTTTCCAGGCAGCCAGGGGTTCACCTTTAAAGCACCAACTTGAAACTCAAAAACCTGTTTGAATTCAAATGTGGGTTGTGTGCGCTTCCACAGTTTAATTTCCAGAGCAGAAACGCACCGTGTAAGCGTCTTGGTTCGGATTTTGGTTTGTTTGGTTTTGGTTTCTGATAACCAAAGCCTGTTATTAGCTGGCCTCAGCTACTGTAGAAGATTGTGCAGTGATGCTGTCAGACCTCAGATGACCACACACGGTGCCAGGAGTTCCTGTGTCTGCCACTTGGTTTGCCTCTTCCCCCACTGGCAGCTGCCTGCCTGCCAGGAATCGGCTCTGCTTCTCATTTGTGATTTTAGATCAGAAACAAGCTCCCTGGGGGTGGCTGGAATTTTGGTCAGACCTTGAGTGAGACATAGAGGGTAAGAGTGCCTTTGAATAACGGGAGTGATTGCCAATTGCGGGGCTCACAGGAGCGATTGCCGGATGTGGGGCCGGGTCACTTTCACCCCATCACTTTCCTAACTGTTCCAAGGTGAAATGCCCAGGGCCAGCTGCTACTTTGCTGCCTGTTCTTCTGATTAGCCTGGTATGAAACAGTGATTCTCAAACTGTTTGATATCAAAATCATCTGGGGAAAATGGCAAAAATGCCAAGGCCTAAGCCCCATCCCGCTTCCAGGAGCCTAGTCTTGGGTGGGCTTCATTAGCTCAGCAGGTGGCTCTGATACACACCTAGGCTGGAGAAACGGTATGAGATACTGGAGCCCAAGATGACAGATCTGACTCGCCTAGGAGGGTTGGAGCCTTTCCCCATGTACATAACCCCTTCCCCCTCTTGTTAGGCGCTACTCATCCTGCCCGAGGCTCCAGCCACAGTTTGCTGCCTGGATGAACCTTCCCTGATTCCCCACCCCTGCAGGGAGTTGATCGCCGCACCCTTGTCTGCCCTCTTGCACAAGGGGCCTCTGTGACAGTGCTCTCTCTGCCCCTAATGCATCTCATTACCTGTCTCCTCCAGAGCCAGCAGGGATCTTCCTGCAGCCTCAGTTACCGGGAGGCCTGTTGCTAGGCACTCAGTGTGTTCATAGTTTGTAAAGCTGCAGGTTGAAGGTAAGGCTGCTATTACCAGTCCAGCTGCCTGATGGAGTCCAGCTTGTTCCTCATCTTTCAGGAGGGTTTTGAAGTGCCCTGAGTATCACAGCCTCTACAGGCGTAAATTCTCCCCGTTTGAAAGTGGACCTTTGGAATGAAGGTCCTGAATTCTTCCAGAATGAGACTGATACAAATACAATGATTGTATCTGGCTTTGGCAACTGCAGTAAAAAGAGGCCAAGTGCAATATTTTTACAGGATACCATGTGAATCCTTTTCATGCTCATTTCGTCCTAAGAGTCCTTTCTCTGTGCCTCTTTTTTAGAACAATGCTAAAGTAGCCGTGCTAGGGGCCTCTGGAGGCATCGGGCAGCCGCTTTCACTTCTCCTGAAGAACAGCCCCTTGGTGAGCCGCCTGACCCTCTATGATATCGCGCACACACCCGGAGTGGCCGCAGATCTGAGCCACATCGAGACCAAAGCTGTTGTGAAAGGTACTGGGCGCGTGACCCTGGAGACTTGCCTCCTGTCCCCAGTAGGCCAGGATCTGAGTTTTCAGTAAGATTCTTAGATGAAACTAAATGTTTAGAGACCTGGGGTTTCTCTGTTTGTTTTAAATTTAACTTTTACAAGTGATTACACCCTGTTGGACTTGGGTCTGTAAAAATTGAAATAGCAGTGTCTTTTAGAAATGTGAGGTACCCTAATCATCCCATTTTCTACTTTTTCTGATTTGAAAAGTTGTATGAAGATGGGGAAGAGGGAAGTGTCGGCAACCTGTGGTGAGGATTTGGGGACAGTAAGGTGGTGGTCCCAGCTGCGGGCTGCCTTCCCTCTACCCCAGTGTTGTCTTGCCAGCTTCTCAAAAAGCACGGCCTCTTTGGGAAACCTGCCCGTCCGTGGAAGGCAGTGTCGGATATTCAGTAAATGTTGTCGGGAAATGATTCACTGGACTCAGTGCAGCAGCTCATGCCTATAATCCCAGCACTTTGGGAGGCCAAGTCAGGAGGATTACTTGAGTCCAGGAGTTCAAGATCAGTCCAGGCAACATGGCGAGACCCCTATCTCGACAAAAAGTACAACTAGCCAGGCGTGATAGTGCGTACCTGTCATCCCAGCTACTTGGGAGGCTAAGGTAGGAGGATTACTTGAGCCCAGGAGGTTGAGGCTACACTGAGCCCTGATTGCACCACTGCACTTCAGCCTAGGTGAGAGAGTGAGACCCTGTCTCAAAAATAATATCATCCATAAATATATATATTTATATATGCTGTTTATTTAAACTTCACAATATATCAACATTTTTGCATGTCACCAAATTCTTTTTTTTTTTTTTTTTGAGACAGAGTATCTTGCTCTGTCTCCCAGATGGAATACAGTGGCACAATCTTGGCTTACTGCAACCTCCCCATCCTGGGTTCAAGTGATTCTCCTACCTCAGCCTCCCAAGTAGCTGGGACCACAGGCGCGTGCCACCGTGCCTGGCTACTTTTTGTGTTTTTAGTAGAGATGGGGTTTCACTGTGTTGGCCAGACTGGTCTAGAACTCCTGACCTCAAGTGATCCACCCACCTCGGCCTCCCAAAGTGCTGGAATTACGGGCATGAGCAACTGTGCCCAGCCCAACTTCTTGATAAAATTATTTTTAAAGCTGTAATTTATCATTTATGATAGCTCTGCTGTTGACCATTGACTGATTCCTGTTTGCTTCTGTAAATATAAATATATTAATATAAGCTACAGTACGTATCTTTGTCTTTACATCTTGTTTAAGTCTTAGAGTTCTACACATAGAATTAGTAGGTATGAATATTTCAAAGCATTTACTATAAAGCTCCAAATTGCTTTCCAGAAAGGTTCTACTGATTTCTTTCCCCTCCGACAGCATATGAGGATACCGTGTCTGATGGCGTTTACATGAGTCTTAAGTTGGTGTAAATAACTGGGGAGGCTGCCTGGCAAATTTTATGTTCATGCACCTTCCAGAGTTCTCTGAACGGGTTGCCCATTTTCTTTTGGGCTGTATATTTGGGTTAAGAAGGCTCCTGCATTAAGGAAAAAGTCAAGATCAAAGCAGATTTTGGATATTTTAGCAAATTTCCCTGAAATCTTTGAAAACATACTTTTTCCTTCAGATGATAGGAGTAAACGAAATAGTATTATTTAGAGTCTGTCAGCACAGGGTGTTTCCTTTCCTGGCCTTCATTGCCTTCTGATCAAGGAGTTTGGGCCGACACAGTGGCTCACACCTGTAATCCCAGTACTTTGGGAGGCCAAGGTGGGTGGATCACTTGAGTTCAGGAGTTCAAAACCAGCCTGGCCAACCTGGTGAAACCCCTTCTCTACTAAAAATACAGAAATTAAACCAAAGGTGGTGGTGCACGCCTGTAATCCCAGCTACTTGGGAGGCTGAAACAGGAGAATCACATGAAGCCGGGAGGTATGGAGGTTGCAGTGAGCCAAGATCGTACCACTGCACTCCAGCCTGGGTGACAGAGCAAGACTCCATCTCAAAAAAAAAAAAAAAAAAGGAGTTTTCATCAGGATGGTGGTGGAAAACAAGCAGCTCCTCATTCTGACTGGAGGCCAAGAGTGACTTACAATGCTTACGAGTAGGATGAAGACAAGCAGTGGCTCAGTTTGCTTTTGTGGAAACCTGGAGGGCTTGACCCATTCTAGCTGGGGCCTGGGCAAGGAGAGGTTGGGGAAAGCAGGGTAGAAGGGGAGGGTTCCTGCCACAGGGATTGTGAGCTCGCAGGGCAGTAGTCGTTAACAGAAGGAAGTCACGTTACAGGTGGGGCTTCTAGCCTTTCTCGAGGCCATTAGTTGGCATTAAGGCCAGGGCTGAACTTTCCAGGCCTCTCTGAATCAGAAGTGGTAACATTTCTCTTTTGGGATGTGTGTTCTAGGCTACCTCGGACCTGAACAGCTGCCTGACTGCCTAAAAGGCTGTGATGTGGTAGTTATTCCGGCCGGAGTCCCCAGAAAACCAGGTTTGTGTTTGAAAGCCTTGTCTGGTACCTCCCCACTTGAAGATGTGGGGATTAAACCCATTTTCTGTTAAAAATGGGTTTAATCCGGTTGCTTTTTCGTAGGGAAAATGCCACCAGCTCCCGTTGCCTGTGGGGTAAAGGTCACATCTCTTTGTTGGCCTAGGATCAAAGTCGTCTTGCCATTTCCCTGTGCCTCTGTGCACAGACGCCGTTCCCTCTCCTCAGCGCCACACTACCTCGGGGGTTCTTATTAAACCTCTATGGTCCTTCTGAGATATTGTCCTCCCCGCTCCACCCACACAGACCTCACTTCTGGCACTCATCCTGCTGGATCGTTTACCCTGCAAGAGAGACTAACTTGAAACGGGGACCTTGAGTGGCTAAATTTCCTGTAACAGCTGACGCTCAGCACATTCTGCCTGTCTGGAAATTTGTGGTGTTCTCTGTTAACATCTCATATTGGATCATTTCCAGGCATGACCCGGGACGACCTGTTTAACACCAATGCCACGATTGTGGCCACCCTGGCTGCTGCCTGTGCTCAGCACTGCCCAGAAGCCATGATCTGCATCATTGCCAATCCGGTGAGTGTGGCAGCGCCCGGCCCTTGCAGCTGTGACAGGCGCTGAGGCGCTGACAGTGCGTGGAAGGCTCATGATTTGCAGCAGAGGCTGCTGATGTGCTGGGGAGATGGAGGGGTACACAGATGAAGGGGCTGAGATGGAGAGGTCGGGTGCACTAAGCAGAGGCCCGTCCGTGCGTTTCCTAAGGACCCCTTCCGGCATGAACTGAACGAGCGTTGGGAGCGTTGTCACAGCCGCGAGCTTTGGGCAGATCCCATCTCTCTCTGCTTTAGTTTCCTCACTAAAGAGAAATCCTTTCTCAAGGCTCCTTTCAGCCGTGATTGTGGTGGCCCGTTGATTCCCTTTTTGACACAGTAGCTCCTACTTACCCGGGGCAGTATGTTCCAAGAGCCCAGTAGGTGCCTGAAATTGTGGAAAGTACTGAGCCCTGTATGTACCATGTGTTTTCCTAGGCATACGCACCTATGATAAGTTAATTCATAAACTAGGCACAGTGAGAGATTAACAACAACTAATGGTAAAACAATCATTACAAGAGACTATAATAAAAGTTGCTTCTTTCCTTTTAGTCAGGAACTTTTGCCTTCTCGCTTAAGGGAAGTACTTAATGACTTCTCTGATTTCTCCAAATCGCCAGCATCACTACTCTTGCGCTTTGGGGCCATTATAAAGTAAAAGAAGGCAACTGGAACACAAGCATTGTGATCTCTCAACAGCTGCTCCGATAACCAAGATGGCTCCTAAGTGACTCAGGGACAGGTGGTGTAGACGCATGAGTATGCTGGGCAAAGGGTTGACCCCTGTCCTGGGCGGGATGGAGCCAGAGTTCATCCTGCTACTCAGGATGGCATGCAGTTTTTTTGGTTTGTTTTTGTTTTTTGTTTTTTTTTTCTTTTTTTTTTTTGGCTCTGTTGCCCAGGTCGGAGTGCAGTGGTGCGATCTTGGCTCACTGCAACCTTTGCCTCCCGGGTTCAAGCGATTCTCCTGCCTCAGCCTCCTGAGTAGCTGGGATTACAGGCGCCCGCCACGATGCCCAGCTAATTTTTGTATTTTTAGTAGAGACGGGGTTTCACCATGTTGGCCAGGCTGGTCTCAAACTCCCAGCCTCAGGTGATCCTCCCGCCTCGGCCTCCCAGAGTGTGGGGATTACAGGCATGAGCCACTGTGCCCAGCCGGTTTAAAACCCATGAGTTATTTATTTCTCAAATTTTCCATGTAGTAAGTTCAGACCTCAGTTGACTGCTGGTAATTAACACAGCAGAAAGTGAAACCATGGATAAGGTGGGACTCTCTGCATTCTCCTCAGGATTTCCATTCCTGGGCCTGTCGTCCCCATCCCTTCACTCACAGTCGTAGACACATACAGCCCCCAGGCCCCACTCACTGGATTTTGCTTACTCTCAGAAGCATTGAGTGCCACGCCCTCATTGAGGGCGGCCGTGGTTCCCCAGCTTGACCTGCTGGGCCTTGTGCTCGTTTAACAGCAGCCCCCTCACTGCTCCTTCCCGGCAGAGCCTGGGTCCTGGTGTCTGAGGATGAGGATCGATTGAGGTGAAGGGGCAGGGACCGTGATGTCACTGAGAGGTGTGGATGCCAGCAGGCATGCAGAGCTCGTGCTCCTGGCCTTTGAGGGTCCTGCCTTCCCCAGAAGCTCGCCGTCCTCAGGACGGTGGGTCACAAGTAGAGAGCTGCTATTCCCTTTGTTGGTGAGCTAGCCATTGCCTGATATAAACCTTGCCGTCATGTCATCTTCTGGTGTGCGGGGTGATACGTTCGGCACTCGCCCTGCATGAAGTCATTTAGTCTTTACAACGATTTCATGAGGTCGTCATTTCTCCCGCTTACAGATGAAAAAACTGGGTCCCGGGGAGTTAGGATGACCTGGCCAGGGTCGTAGCACAGAGGGAACAAGCTGCCAGTGGACCTGCTTCCTTGGAGCACACAGCCACTGTGCGCCGCCCTCCCATCAGGAGTGGCCCTGCAGCTGTGAGTCCCGGCCGTGCGGAAGGTGGCCTGTGAAGGCATCATCACACATTTCAGCTGATAGCTGAAGGGCCACCAAGGGAAGAAGCATCCTCTACAGTTAAGGGTTTCTTTGTTCACGTGGTGTGGCGTGTCCTTTGTGGCGGGTGGCTTGCCAGTACACAGTTATCAGACAGGGCAGGTTAATGTGGCATCTTTGGACTAGTTAGACCCTTGGGAAGATCTGACAAAAAGCCCTTTTCCTTCTGTGGCTCGGCCCTGCTCTTGGAACCCAGGGCAAGCCACGCCTGTCTCTTGGATGTCCTAGGTTAACTCCACCATCCCCATCACAGCAGAAGTTTTCAAGAAGCACGGAGTGTACAACCCCAGCAAGATCTTCGGCGTGACGACCCTGGACATCGTCAGAGCCAACACCTTTGTTGCAGAGCTGAAGGTAAGGGCGGCGTGAGTGTTGCTCAGGTGACCTTTCTGAACTTCTCCCGCCACCTGTGCTCATTTACGGGCATGGAAGACACCAGGGCCTGCCCAGGTCGCATGTCACTTGCGGGTTTTCAGTGTGTTGAGAGTTCGCCCTCTTGGTGGAAGCAGCCCCCGTGTTTCCTGTGGGTTCCAGACACCTGGCCCCAACCGGCGGCAACTCTGACCAGCGTCTGTCTCCCGGCTCTCGCTGTCTTCCTTCTCGCCGAGAGCACTGTGGGTTCACAACCTTCTCTGGGCTTCTCAGTGGCTGGACTTGGACGGGGCTCCCCCAGTCCTCCCCTTTCTCCTTCCCACTGAAAACTGGTCCTAGGTGGATTTACCTGCTGGCCACTAGATAAAGGGTGGGAAAATTAACAAACATGAAGAACTGAGGAAAGTGGCGGAAGTCCCAAAGTATCAGAATTGTTGTTGGCCCTGGTCCCTGGCACTGACTTTTTTGGGTTGGCTGTGGTACCTTACCCTGGAGAGTCCGGGCCTGGCCCCTTGGGCTGCTGGACTGAGACTGAGCTGCTGGGTGTGGCTTGAGGTCGGCTTGATTTGGTGCCAGTGCTGGGCCTGGAGTCCTCAGTGCCTCACACAGCCTGCTTTCGACTCGCTTCCATTGTGGAGCCTGCAGAACCACTTCCTTTGGCCCCAGAAAGGATTCCTCTTGAACTTCAGCCCTTTTCGTTCTGATGGCAGATTTGAGGTTATGCGCACGGCGTGGTGGGAAGTGCACACGCAGCACCCTCAGCCTCCATTTTACTCCTGAGTGCCAGGCACATCTGCTTCTGAGGAGTTAGAGGTGCAGACACGGCAGCACGTACCTGAGGGCCTGGTGCTGGGGCTCTGTTACAGGTGTGGGGATCAGAGAGGTTCGAAAGGCATGGCCCCAGGCCTTGGAGTTCCATGGAATGGGAGAGAGACTTGAGTCCGAGAGACAGTTTAAGCCAGGCACGGTGGCTCATGCCTGTCATCCCAGCACTTTGGGAGGCTGAGGTGGGAGGGCCACTTGAGGCTGCAGTGAGCTGTGATTGCACCACTGCACTCCAGCCTGGGTGACAGAGCAAAACCCTGTCTCTTAAAAAAAAAAGAAAAAAAGACAGTTTGAGTGAGCAGGTGGGCACAGGTATGTACAGAGTTCCCCTGGGATTGCCACAGTCTGGAAGTGGACACACCAGGCAGGGTACCACCTCCCACCTCCAGAGGCACAGCCCCTGGCATCCTGGAGGCAACAGAGTTCATTCTCGTGGGCTCTCAGGGCTGGGCATACCCCAGGCCCTAGTCCTGCCCTGCACCACAGCTGCCACTAGCTACATGTGGCTGTTTATGGTTAAATAACATTAAAATTGTATCCCTCTTCCACACAAACCACATTTAAGATGCTCCGTGGCCACATATGGCTCCTCTATCCTCACAGGAAGTCCTGTTGGGCAGTCCTGTCTCAGCCTTGAAGCGTCACTGTTAAGAGTTGGGGACAGGGTACCTTGGCCCCTGTGAGATCCCCTGGCCCCGCCTCCAACAGTGAAGTGGACTGTCATTACCCCCGGCTGCCTGACCTTCTGGAAATTTCCTGTATCATATCAAGAATGCATATCAATCCTTAAACTTCCGATGGCTGGTTCCTCCCTCATCCTGTCACCTGCCATATTCCCTTTCAACATGACTCCAGGACCTCCCAGGCCAATGCCACGTTCCCCTTTGCTGCAGAGCTGCCCTGTCCCCTGTCTTAGCACGCACCATTGGAACATCCATTTCTAGGAGTCTTGTATTCGAGGACAGGCCTCTGGAAAGCAGGGCTGTGTCCCTTCAGCCCCGTGTCCCTGGTGACTGCACAGTGTCCGCACCTGTGTGCTTACACACAGCCAAGCTAAACCTCTCAGGTCTTTGGTCCCCAGCTCCATGAAGCTGATCCTGCTTTGCCCGTGCATGAGACTGATCCTCCCTCTCCCAGGCCAGCCTCATTTCCCAACCTAGGGCTGGGCTCTTGAGCGGCCATGGCCATCGGGGCAGGTGGTTGTTCCCTCCCTGCCATTACTCCCACCAGGTTATTGTCTGTTTTAAGAAATACTTGGTTCAGCCGGGTGCAGTGGTGCATGCCTGGAATTCCAGCACTTTGGGAAGCCAACACAGGAGGATGACTTGAGCCTGGGAGTTCAGGACCAGTCTGGGCAACATGGCAACACCCCATCTCTACAAAACATTTAAAAAACATAAGTTGGGTGTGGAGATGTGTGCTGCTTCAGAGGCTGAGGTGGGAGGATGATTGAGTCCAGGAGGCAGAGGTTGCAGCCAGCCAAGATTGTGCCACTACACTCCAGCCTGGGAGATAGAGAACCTATCTAAAAGGAACCTGTCTAAAAAGAGAACCTGTCTAAAAAAACAAAACAAAAACCTGGTTCACAGATTCTTGGGGGTGTGGTACCTCCAGGTTAAGAAATGAGCCTGCCTCGAACTGTGGTGTTTGGACCCATAGAGTCAGTTTGTTCTTTCTGTCTCGATCACTGTTTGAGGCGCCAGACTTCTCACCCCTGGGTGCCCTGGAATGGGTTTGAATTTTGCTCCGTGGGGCCTGAAGAAAAGGGAATTTGGATTGTTCTGTGTGGGGAGGAGTCTGGGTTTGTGCCTGGGGAGTGGAGCTGGCTCTGGGAAAGAAGATGCCAGGCCTGGCGGGGGGGCCTCTGCAGGGGGCAGCATCCTCCTGTGCCCATCCCCAGTGGGCACAAATGCTCACTGTGAACGAAGGACCTGCGGTGGCCTTGCCAGATGGCGGCGAGCCCTCACGGCACCTGCTGGCGCTCATGCTCAGCCTTTTGGGGCACCATGGCAGGAGATCCAAGTGCAGCAGGGGCTGGACAGGGCCTCCTCCCAGCTCACTGTTCCACCCTGAGTTCTCGGGGCTTTTCCAGTGTTGCGGCTGTGGATGGCTGTGACATGTTTCATACTGAAAGAGCTTGTTAACTCATCCAGCTTCACACTTTGTTCACCAGGGTTTGGATCCAGCTCGAGTCAACGTCCCTGTCATTGGTGGCCATGCCGGGAAGACCATCATCCCCCTGATCTCTCAGGTATACGCATGTGACCTTGTGAGGGGCTTCCAGGTCAGGAACCCCTTTACCAGGCCCTGCTCTGAGGCGGTCCGGGCAGACTGGAGAAGACCTGACCGTGCGCAGGGTTTTGGAATGGCTCCTGTTGTTGGCAGCCCCGCCCTTCTGCTGCAGGGTGGTGTCAGTCCTGGAGCGGAAGCTGCTCAGGGCCCCTCCGGCTCCAGCACGCAAGGAGAACCACTGTTGGGAACCTCACTGGGTTACTGGTTAGGCCGGAGCGGGCGAGGTGCTTTTTTCAAAAATGAGTCCAGGGCTGGACACAGTGGCTCATACTTGTAATCCCAGCATTTGGGAGGCCGAAGCGGGAGGATTGCTTGAGCCTGGGAGGTTGAGGCTGCAGTGAGCTATGATGTACCACTGCACCACTCAAGCCTGGGCGACAGAGCAAGACCGTGGCCTCAAAAAACAAATGAGTAGGGGACTCACCACACTTCCCAACAGAGTTGATTTGACTTTGTCTTGTTTTTTTGTTTTTATTATTATTTTTTTGCTGCTCCTTGTGGAGCAGGGCTACCCCACAGGCAGTGTGCCCAGAGTAGTGTGTCATTTTTCTGTAAAGGTTTTCTTTTTCTTCTTTACAGAAAACCTTTCCCATGCCTTGGTGATGGGAGGGAGAGGAGAGGTCGGGAGTAGTGGGAGCGGGAGGCAGTGGGTCTGGAGTCGTGGGCTGGAAGCCACTCAGTGACCCCACGCTTGGCTTGCAGTGCACCCCCAAGGTGGACTTTCCCCAGGACCAGCTGACGGCGCTCACTGGGCGGATCCAGGAGGCCGGCACGGAGGTGGTCAAGGCTAAAGCCGGAGCAGGTAGAGTCTTAGGCAGCCCCGGGTCTGGGTGCCAGTGAGGCCCTGCGAGAGCTCAGGGTTGGGGAGAAATGCTGCTTGTCCCTGGGCACGGATGGTCCTTTTCGGTGTTGACTTGCAGTTGCCTGGTGGAAAATCCCTGTGTGAGAGGGCAGCTCGGCCTGCTTTGTGGGGTTAAGAGTCATTTTTGAGGATGGCAGAGCCAATTCCACACCATTCATGTATAAGTAAAAAGAAATTAGGGGTGCTGACTGAAATTCTCGACTGTCAGGCTGGAAGGTGTGCAGGTTTCTTGGCTGGCGGGACGACTCACCTGGGCATCACGGTGTGGCGCCAGCCTGGCTGACCTGCCTGTGCCCCCCTAGGCTCTGCCACCCTCTCCATGGCGTATGCGGGCGCCCGCTTCGTCTTCTCCCTTGTGGATGCAATGAATGGAAAGGAAGGTGTTGTGGAATGTTCCTTCGTTAAGTCACAGGAAACGGAATGTACCTACTTCTCCACGCCACTGCTGCTTGGGGTACGTATCCGGGCATGGGTCCTTCTGACTGTGGAAGAAGGAGCGTTCCCTCTGCTTAAGCCTCAGGAGCTCTCCCCAGCCCTTTGTGCAGTAACCTCATGTCCCTGCCTGGCAAGCGCTGGGGTTTTCGAGGGTGGATGCACACCTGAGAAAGAAGAACTGGGAGGATCATGGACTGTGAAGGGCGAACCTCCCAGCAAGTGGGTCTCCTTCCCCGCAGTTTGACAGCGGGTGCCCAGCAGCCACAGGAATGTTGACTGATGAGACACTCCATCTCCAGGCAGCCCAGGGAGGCCTCCCCACCCTGCCTGAACACCTCCCTGTTGCTCCTTGTTAGTCTTGTTCTGACTGCGGGGGCTGCTAGGCCCAATTCCTCTTCCAGAGTGTGTCCTGTCTAGACAGCCTGAGTCTTCAGCAAACGGAAACCCTTAGGTCTCACTCATACGCCCTCAAGCCGAGTTTCCATTTCTCACCTGTGGGCAGAAATCAGGCAGATGTGTGGTTGCCTTCGTCATGTGACCAGAAAGTATCATGACTCTTTGGGCCACCCCAAGGCCTTTCTCAGAGATGCTCCAATGTGGAAAGATCCTTCAGCTGTGGTCCCAGGCCTTGGTGAGAGACAGGCACTCGACAGTGCAGTTCTGTCCTCGTGTCGGTGCAGGTGTGTGGTGTGGCGGGGCCTGCAGGTGAGACGCACCTGGCTCTCATAGGCCCTCGAGCCAGGGGAGGCAGTAGGAGAGGATTGAGTTGAGGTGAGGACTGAGGCTGTCGCCAGACAAAGTGCTCAGTTTCTGGAGGTGAGACGGTGGCAGAGACATCTGTTTTTGCCAATGTCAGACATTTACCTACTTAGTGACACCTGATTCAGGTGACTGTGACAATGTTTTCAGTCCTTTACCAACCTTGCGGGGGGAGACAAAAACCCAGAAACAGGCTCTGTTGGGGAGAATACGGTGAAGTGTTCCTGATGATTGAGTGCCTGGCGTCCGGGTGCTTGTCGCACTGTCCTCGTGTGCACCGAGGTAGATGGTGCTTGTTCTATAGCTAAGGAAACACATTTGGAAGGTCAGTCATTGTCCAGGGTACTTTTCCAGGCAATGACAGTGCTGGGACCCCTGCCTGGCACCCTCTGACTCTGAGCCTCACACTCCCGACCGCAGCTCAGTCCCACCCACCCTGTCAGCAGGGTGCCCCCAGCAAGGCACCCAGAACCCACAGGTGTAGACAGACTCCTCGGCGGGGCTGATGAAGCGACAGGTCGGGGTTTCTGTAACAAGCACTTTCCTGGAAACTTCATTTTAACATGTTCCCATCTCCCTCTGTCCCTCAGAAAAAGGGCATCGAGAAGAACCTGGGCATTGGCCAAATCTCCTCTTTTGAGGAGAAGATGATCTCGGATGCCATTCCCGAGCTGAAGGCCTCCATCAAGAAGGGGGAAGATTTCGTGAAGACCCTGAAGTGAGCCGCCGTGACGGGTGGCCAGTTTCCTTAATTTATAAAGGCATCATGTCACTGCAAAGCTGTTGCAGATAACCTTTGTATTTTAATTTGCTTTGGTGATGATTACTGTATTAACATCATCATGCCTTCCAAATTGTGGGTGGCTCGATGGGCACATCAATAAAAGCCGTCCTTGATTTTATTTTTCAAGGTCCCTTCTGTCAGTGCTGTGCTTTCTTCCCTGTGAGAGCTGACTATAGCGTGTCTGCCACCTCTTCATTACTAATCAGAACTAGATGATGTTTAACTTAGACTGAAGCGTGACGCTTTCATCAGTAGCTTCAAGAAAGTCTAAAATGTTAATTTGTGGAATTGGACACAGTATTCACAGGTTACCTGTACGTGCTCCTCCCGTCCCTCCTGTTGGCACCCTTGCATCGCCCGGGCCTGATTCCTCTCGGGGGTGGTTCACCTCCACAGGGTCATAGTTCAGCGGTGAACGCCTGGCAGCCGTTTTCTGGCTAAGCAAACAGCACCTTTCTCTTTGAGCTTCCTCTGCTGACCTCTGTCCCCCTTGGGATTTCATCTTCTGACCGAACCCTGATGTTCAGTGGCAGAGACAGCTGATGGCCCGAGCTGTGGGGACACCAGGCTGGGGGTGTGCATGGACATCCCAAACCCCAGCTGCTGTGTCAAGGCTGAGGACGCCGTGCCGCCATCAAAAGGGGGTTCCAGGTTTTCCATCAGTGGCCTAAAGAAGGGACTTCGTCTTATTGAGGAGTGGGGAATTAAAGAGATTTGACTCCCTTTAGTGTTGGGGGCAGTCCATTCCCCAGACGCTGCGGCCTCTGAAGTGGAAACTGAAAGCTGCATACCTGGGAAGGAACTTTCTAGCAACAGGCAATGGCCTTCAGTGGAAGAGGGAGGGCTAGAGGTGTGCCCAGTACTTGGATGTTCATCTGCCCACAACAGCTTTTTTTTTTCAAAAAAGCTAAAGCTGAAATGGATTTTATCATAAAGGATCACATTGTTTTCTTCTACAAGTAATACATGTTCATTGTGTAAAACCCAAAAAGCAGCTAAAAAATAAAGCGGGAAAGGAACCACTGGTAATATTTGTCTTCTCTTGCATATTTCATAGGTTGAGAGAAGGAAGCCTGCTCTTCAGGTTATCTGCTACTGAACAATCCCAGCCCTCTCCAGTCTGGTGGCTTTTAGGCTATTTCTGTTCATATCTCCAGACCCTGGGGGTTGTCAGTGCTCAGCTGGGTGGTTCTGTGCCCACAGCTCCCACTGCAGCCTGGAGGCTTGGCTGGATTGGAGCACGCGAGGCTGGGGTTTGGGAGATGCCCGGACAGCTGGCCTGTTCCCCGAGGTCTTGGGCCTCTCCTCCTTCATGGGGCCTCTATAGCGAGGTCCACAGGTTCCTTGATGACTCGGTTCCCATAGGCAAAAGCAGAAGCTGCCAGGCTCTAAGGCTTGGGCTGAGAACTGGCCCAGCTTTGCTTGCACTGCATTCTCTAGGTTAGAGCAAGTCATAAGGCCCCCACCGACGTGGGCAGGAACCACACAAGGGTGTGGCTGCGGGAGACCTGACCCTTTGGTGGCCATTTTTGGAGATGAGCTGCCCCCCCTACATCCTTTCACTGTGTATTTGCCCTTGTCACTTTTCTAAATTTTTCTGTAGAGACAGGGTCTCTGTCGCCCAGGCTGGAGTGCAGTCATGTGATCATGGCTCACCGCAGCCTCCAACCCCTGGGTTCAAGCGATAATCCCACCTCAGCCTCCCCAGTAGCTGGGACTATGGGCGCCTGCCACCACACCCGGCTAATTTTATCATTTTTTGTAGAGATTGGGGACAGGGGAACGGGGGGACTTGCTGTTTCCCAGGCCGGTCCTCCCAGCCTTGATCAATCCTCCCGCCTCGGCCTCCCAAAGTGCTGGGATTACAGGCATGAGCCACTGTGCCTGCCATTCTTTTCACAGCTGGATAACCTTGAGGGTGGATAACTCGGTGGTTTCGGTTTTCACTGCTGTAGAGAGCAGGACTCTGAGCGTGGTACTTTAGCGCTGTTTCCTCCTGGTGGTTCTGTGTGCAGAGCACTATGCTGGCTGTATTTGGGGTGCATTTACCATTTTATGGGATCCTTGCAACAACCCTGACAGGACCTGGGACTCAAGCTAGGTCAGGTTGTGTCTTGGTTGAGGGTGGTCACTACCTCTCCATATAAACCAAGGGCTACCCCTTAAGAACCCCCCAGAGAGTGCTCAGGATACTCCCACTGGAGTGGGAGGACTGCTTGAGCCCAGGAGCTCGAGGTTGCTGTGAGCTGTGATTGCGCCACTGCACTCCAGCCTGGGAGACACAGCGAGACCCGTCTCAAAAAAAAAAAAAAAAAGAAGAGGCCCATTTCTGGCTCCATCTCAGAAGTTCAGCTCTAGCATCCTAAAGGGAGGACCTGGAACCTAGAGTATCCTAAATTCTTTCAGATGATGATGAAGGGGCCTGGAGATACCAGCTGTCCCTGGGCTATTCACCCTGTAGGCCTACCCCTGCCTTCCAGGGCTTATAGATGAGTCAGGCACTGAGAATCCCCAAGAAAAATGCAGAGGAAGTACTGTGGGACTCCAGAGGAGGGAGAGTTACTTCATGTCTTGGCAGAGCGTCAAGGAGGACTGCCCCTATCAAGATCTCTAGGAGGAGGGAAGAGGAGGAGGAGGAGATGGCATATGCTCTGGCTCTGCAGGCTGGGCAGGATTTCAACCAGCAGGGAGGGTGAGATGGGCGTCTTAGGCAGCTGCCGGAGCAGACAGGCCGAAGAGCTTGTGGATGGCAGGAACAGGGCGTCCCAGGAGCTGAGCAGGATGGTGACGATGGTGACACAGCGGCCAAGGCTGCTCACACTCCACCAAGGGCTGGTTGGTGGAGGAGTCTCATTAACCCTGGAGCCTGCTGCTGGACCTAGCTTCTGCTTTTTAATTTTAATTTTTTTTTTTTTTTTTTTTTTGAGACGGAGTCTTGCTCTGTCGCCCAGGCTGGAGTGCAGTGGTACAATCTCGACTCACTGAAACCTCTGTGTCCCAGGTTCAAGCAATTCTCCTGCCTCAGCCTCCCAAGTAGCTGGGACTACATGCACGCCACCACCACACCCAGCTAATTTTTGTATTTGTAGTAGAGACGGAGTTTCTCCATGTCGGCCAAGCTGGTCTCGAACTGCTGACCTCAAGTGATCTTCCCGCCTCGGCCTCCCAAAGTGCTGGGATTACAGGCGTGAGCCATGGCACCCAGTCCAGATTCTGCATTTTCTAGTCAGATTCCCAGAAATGTCTGAGCTGCAGGTGCACATGAAGTAGGAGCAATGTGAAGGCAGGGACCACTCGGACGCTGGAGACCAGAGATGGGGTGGTGGTGAGTAGGAGGGGAGATGACAGTGACATGGAGGAAAAACAGCATCTCCCAGCCCCATTTCTGCCACCCAGAAGTCCATCAGGCAGTTGTCAGTGTGGATTAAACCCACCACGCCTCTGCCTCCAAGCTACAATTATCCATCCTCCCATCCTTCGGGCCACCTCCTCACACAGAACTCCTGTCCCCCTCGGTGAGGAACAAAAGACTAGTGGCTGCATGTATGGTGTTAATGACCAAAATGAGGTGGCCAAGACCTTTGCCACGGGAAGCCAAGAACCAGTCTTTGTTTTTGGTTTTGTTTTGTTGAAATGGAGTCTCACTCTGTCACCCAGGCTGGAGCGCAGTGGTGTGATCTCGGCCCACTACAACCTCCATGTTATAAGTAAAATGTTTATTCAGAAACAGAATGCTGTTCCCCAGTACCACAAGGAAAAATCAGCATTTAGACAAAGAAGTTTTCTCAGTAAGGTAATTTTACTTTCTGCAGAAAGGGTGCTCCTTGCGGATGGAACAATGGCGAGAGCACACCTGAATAAAGGAGGGAAGCAATTTTTATCCTTTACGCAGCTTTTCCTTGCTACTGTGTCTTGTCTCCATTGGCTGGAGCTAGACCTTACAATTAAACTGAACCTGAATGGCTAACTTAAAACTTTTCTAAATAGGTCAAAGTAATGGAGAACAAAAGAAAAGAGGAAGTTGCTTATGAAAAGACTTAGAAAAGTAATAACATTTCCTGGCGGGCGCAGAGGCTCACGTCTGTAATCCCAGCACTTTGGGAGGCTGAGGTGGGCTGATCACGAGGTCAGGAGATCAAGACCATCCTGGCTAACACGGTGAAACCCCATCTCTACTAACAAAAAAAAAAACACAAAATATAAGCCAGGAATGATGGCACGCACCTGTAGTCCCAGCTACTCGGGAGGCTGAGGCAGGAGAATCACTTGAACCTGGGAGACAGAGGTTGCAGTGAGCTGAGATTGTGCCACTGCACTCTAGCCTGGGCAACAGAGCAAGACTCTGTTGAAAGAAAGAAGGAAAGAGAGAGAGAGAGAAAGAGAAAGAAAAGAAAAGTAATAACATTTCCAAAGTAATAACATTTCCAAATAAGGAAGCACAGCCAGCACAGATATCTTGGTTAAAGTACAAGAACATAGAATGTACTACGTGCCTGTGAGCATATGTAGCACAAATATGTTGGTTAAAGTACAAGGACATAGAATGTACTTATTCTCTTATATCTAACAGCTACATAGGATAGGGCTTAACAAAGAGTTATTAGCACAAAGCAAGGAGGTTTGAAGGAAGCTAGTCTTTAAAAGAAATTATTTCTAACACTTATGATTTATTCTTTAACAAGAAGAGAAATTTTGAAGAGGAAACATTTTACTTTCTACACTCCTCCTCCCGGATTTGAGCAATTCTCCTGCCTTAGCCACCTGAGTAGCTGGGATTACCAGCACCCACCACCATGCCCGGCTAATTTTTGTGTTTTTAGGAGAGACGAGGTTTCACCATACTGGCCAGGCTGGTCTTGAACTCCTGCAGGCGATCCGCCCACCTCGGCCTCCCAAAGTGCTGGGATTACAAGCGTGAGCCACCGCGCCCGGCCTTTGTTTTGTTTTTGAGACCAGGTCTCCCTCTGTTTCCCAGGCCAGAGTGCGGTGGTACAATCATAGCTCACTGCAGCCTCCACCTTCCAGGCCCAAGCGATCCTTCTGCCTCAGCCTCCTGAGTAGCTGGGACTACGGGCATATGCCACCACATCTGGCTAGTTTTTGTAATTTTTTTTTTTTTTTTTTGTAGAGTCGGGGTC